GAGTTAGTCCCAGTGTTTTTTTTGGGCCATGTTCCCTGTTGTGGCAGAGCCAGGCTGCAATTGCCTTGCAGGTATTTCAGGCACAGGGCCGACATGCAATAGGTCTAAGAGCAAAAAAAAAGTGTATCTCATCATTCAGAGATTATCAAGAGCTGCCCCACGCTAGAAATCTATGAAATGCAGGTGTGGTGCTTAGGGACATGGTTTAGCGATGGAATTGGCAGTGTTAGGTCAGTGGTTGGGCTCGGTGATCTTTCCAACCTAAATGATTCACTGATTCTAGAAGCTTTTGGTTTTGCAGACCTGATTTTCAAAAGCACCAGGCACAAGCCTGCTCTCATGCTGCTGTCTCAGTCTCCATTTGGAGCCTTCAACAGCCCAAGATAACCTTTTCAGATGGCTTACATGGGAAATTGTGCCAAATAAACTGAGAAAAAATAAGCATCCAAGTGCTCTCCTGGCTAAACCCATCACTGCCAGAGGAGCCAGTCCTGCCTCTTGTTGAGGAGAGCATTTTTACCATGTGGCTTCAAAGATTTACAGGTCACCAGGGTCACCCCACTCACTTTGCTGCAGGGTCCCAGCCTGGCATCACCCCATCTGCACAGCAGTGAGGCCAACTTAGGATTCAAGAGAGGAGCCTCCCACTCTGTTTTTAAAAGCAGAGCTGATATTAAAGGAAATTATCATACATAATATTTCAGAATTTAACTCTTCAAAGAATCAAGCTCTTCCCATAAGGTCATTTCTTTGCATAGAGCAGAAGAAGAGCATGCCAGGTAGGACACAGAAGTATCTGAAGAAGCTGCTGGGAGTGAAACTAGTGCTCTGCAAGCATGGCAGCTGTCATTATGCTGCAGGTTTTGGAAACTGGGGATAGGGAAACTGAAGAAGGGCCACAAGGATGACTGGGGGTCTGGAGCATCTCCTTTATGAGGAGAGATTGCAGGAGCTGGGCCTGGTTAGTCTGGAGAAGAGCAGACTGAGAGGGGATCCCATCAATGCAGATCAATATCTCAAAGGCAGATGCCAGAAGGATGGTGTCAGACTCTTCAGTGGTGCCCAGTGACAGGATGAGGAGCAGTGGCTGTAAACTGAACCACAAGAAGTTTCACCTCAACACAGAATCATAGACTCATAGAATATGAGGAAGAGCTTCCTCCTGTTGGGGGTGGCAGAGCACTGGAGCAGGGTGCCCAGGGGGGCTGTTGGGTCTCCCTCTCTGGAGACATTCAAACCTGCCTGGACATGTTCCTGTGTGACCTGCTCGAGGTGTCCCTGCCTTGGCAGGGGGTTGGACTGGATGATCTCCAGAGGTCACTTCCAACCCCAACGATTCTGTTATTCTGTGATTCTGCAACTTTGCTTTCATTCCAAGCAGGAAATTTAATTCCAGGAGGAGTCAGGAAGCTACAGGCTGGATCAGATCAGGTCCACTTTCCCTTCCAGATACCTCCTGGGACAACATCCTCCAACTCCAGGAGATATTTCTGGTGGAGACAGTTACTGAGGCCCACAGAAACTGCAGTGGACAATTCCTGGTGCTCTCCATAGAAATCAAACATACCTCTACCAGTACGGGTTTTCATTCAGGACACTCACTGCATCACCTGGGGCATTTGAGCGTCAGCATTAGGCACACTTTGTTTCTTTATCACTGCTTACAGCGTATTGCAGGAGCACTGCTTCAGAAGTAGCATCATTGATTTCTTCTAATTGTAAATCCTATAGAAAGTTTTAAGCTTGCAACTGTCCCAGTTTTGCTCTCAATGGAGCCAATAAATGTGAAGAGTTGCTCCCAGGTTACTGTCATCACAGCAATAAAAAGCCAATGTAATTGAAAAGTGAATCAGGGAAACTGTCAGACTGGGGAGCAATGATAATAGCAGAAACTACCTGAGGGCCCAAGCCCAAAGCAAAGTCTTGTCACTGGCTGCACAGAGCTGGAGCCCATTCTGAACACACTCCTGTGCTGGTACATATCTAACAGAGGACATGAACCCTGTGTGAAAATACTAGAGCATAGAGCAAAGCAGGAGCAATGACCATGTGCTTGCCAACAGGCCAAGCACTCGGTGGATGAGCCAACAAAGGTGATTTTGAACCCCATCTGAGATGGTTCCTCTTCCTAAAAGGCAATATTACAATGGAACTATAATCCAGTAATTTCTCCCTATATTAGCATAAAGCTTAAAAGCAAAAGTTGGAGATGCAGCAGCAAATGCATATTTGTCAAGAGAACAATTATTTCCCACTAGGTAGATTAACTGGTGCAGGAAGACCCAAACCCCCACAAGTCATTACTGTTCTCACATTGTTAAGATCAGACAATAAGCATGGTTGTGTTTGTAATCCGGATAGCTTGAAGCAAAGCAACAAGCAGCATCACAGAAGACTCTGAAAAAGCCTCTTAGTGTCAATGCTGGTATAGAGGGAGACTAGAAAAGACTTCTGAGAGGGAGAGGAAAGTAGCAGCATATGTCAGCATTGGCAGTGGTATGTACCGAGGTGAGTTTTCACACCTGTAGCTCTGGAGGCTGGCACAAAGGAGGAGGAAGCTGATTTGGAGATGTTGCTCTTCCAACACAGTCATCTAGGGACATAGGGAGGTAGATACTGAAGAAGTCAACTGTCTTTTACTCTACATAAGGACAGGATGCATGCAGCATATCGGAGGTCTCTTATCCTCAGATCACTGCCCATGTAAAGTCTGTGAGCACTTCTAATTAAGTCTTAAGGAGGCCCACACATCCCTGCAGCTATCCTCTAAAAGGAGTGCAAGTAAAGAGCAGGTCTTGGGGACAGTGCTCTGGGCTGTGAAGCATTCACAGGGGTGAACATCCACCTGGTGATGGGTGAACACAGGTTTTGAACAGCTTCTAGAAGGACTGTTCCCTGAAAGGGGAGAAAGCAAACTTATAAACTACAGCAATAAAAGTTTGTATTGGCCTCAGAGAACTGCCCCTGAGCCAAGAACAAGAAGTAAACCCCAATGCAGGCTGAACATCACACACTGATGAGATTGGGGTGGGGTAACTACATGCAGACAGACTGCTTCTGTTGCTATGACGTAACCGCTAGGATGAAATTATGGGTTTGGCATATGGATGGAGTCAGGAAGATGCTGGGGCTCAAGTTCAGGTTTGAGTTTCTCCAAGGCAAAGACACCAACAAAGTGCAGGATAGGTGGCTGATGAGGCACCATTGCTTTTACCTCCATAAAAGTGCCAGTGTGCAATCAATACTGCAGGAAGCAGACCTGGAGGGATGTAAACCCTGGGCAGCCTCAAGGCACTCTGAAAACCTCCACTAACAACGCCTTCCAACACCCCTGTGAGGCAACTATATGCATTAACTCCCATTTCCACACTTCTAGCTGCCAAGAGAAATGCTTTAAATAATGATGCAGGTTGAGAAGCACACAGCTGCTTGATTTTTACTTGCTCTTTTAGCATTAAAGCAAGCAGAATACAGGTGCTGAGATTTCCTCACGCACAACAAAGCAGGCTGGAAATCTGTGACTAAATACCAGGGATTTGCAATCCAGCTTTGAACTGTGCAACAAGGAGCCACTGGTGACAATTGTGCGCTCGCTATTTTTAGCTGGGCAGTGTGAACACTGAATCCCTGAGGAACAGGGACAGGAGCAAAACCATCAAACCCACCAGGCTTGCTTTTCAGAGAACTCATTTGGGGCAAAGAGAGGAATTGTGTCTTTTGCCCCTGCCATCCACTTTTCCACGCATTTTCTGCACCAGGTTTTTGAATGTTGGAGATGATAAACAAATAGAACCATAGAAATCAGTGCTACAAATGGAACAATATAAATGTGTGAAAATCTGCCTGTGCACACACATACACATATATATTTTAGGGTCCAGATTTAATCGAGGTGCACTTAGTTTTCCTAGTTAACCACTTTGAGGATTAATGTTTTTGCCTCTATGCAATGTGCAGCAGTGGTGAGGGAAGACACTCTTAGATTACACGCCAGGCATCTCAGAACTGATAAGGTCTGTCCTGTCCTCATCAGGCTGGAGGGGAAAGGAGTGGGAACTTCTTGCTGCACTATTTCCAGAATGCTGGCTGTGCAATCTGACCTTATGCTCTTGGCTGCAGAAGTGGGCACAAGCTTGTGTCACCTTTCCTTCACGGCAGCATTAAGCCAGAGGTGTTTGGCCTTTTGGGGTTTCTTGAAGGGCGTACAGGTCCTGATGCTCACTGTTTGCTGCAGGCAAGCCTGTGTTCTGGGAGAGTTTAAGGTGCTGTTTAGAGGAGGATCATCTGCTGCACAGTGGGTGACTTGAAGCGTTACCACCCTTCTTTACTGACTGCACTGGAGGCTCAGGGAGACTCATATCCTCACCTGGTGCTGCAAGTCAGCCAATGTCTTCTCTTCCGTACCTTGGCAGATATTAATACCACAACCGTTACACATGTGTAAAGTTCCTCTGCTGCAAAAACGCTCATTTCTATCTATTCTACAGAAACCACCTGGTTTAAATATCTGGTGTGTGTAAGAATAACATTTATCTACATGATCTGCAGCTAAGACGGAAATGTTTTCTGCTTGTGCTTACCACAGAGGCCCAATTGGAGAGTTAGAAGGTAAAAAAAGGGGCAGAGACAAGGTTGTGTCTCATGGCAAGGTGTAAGAGCTATTAGGGGAATGTCTCAGGGTTTTATCTCTGTTGGGATGGCCAGGACTGATACCAGATTGCTGCACCTCCACCCTGGAAAACCAGTCCTGGCATAGGGCTCTGTTTCTCTTCTGCTCTACCAACATGAAGTAAGCTGGCAAGAGCTGTGGCAACATCCATTTCCAACATTCACACTGTTAGTGTTAAATGAACCCAAAAGAGCAAAATTTGCAAAGTTATATTGAGGTGTTGAAATGAGGTTGGAAAAAACCTATGAGAGGGAGCTGCAACAAGCCCACATGCCTCTTCCTCCAAGTACCAGCCCTGCAGTGCCTGAGTCTAACTCTGTTCTTCCCACAGTTTGACATGCAGAGGATAACACTGGAAGAGCTGAAACACATCCTCTACCACGCCTTCCGGGACCACTTAACGATGAAGGACATTGAGAACATCATTATCAATGAAGAGGAAAGTTTAAATGAAAACTCTGGCAACTGTCAAACAGAGTTTGAAGGTGAGAAGGAAAGTTTCTGTGTTTCTGTACAATTCTCTTTCTGCTTCGCCTGTAAAGCTCACTCAGATCTGTGACATGCAATGGGCAAGGATGCATGGAGTTAGCATGGAGTTACTTTAGAGTAAGTAGCAATGACACAGAGAACTCAAGAGCTGCCATTAGCCTTCTTCCATGTGGTCTAAATAAATCTGATCCTGTTTCAGGCAGGAGGATGAACTAGTGGGTGCCTTATGGCTCTCCTTCCTCTGATGGGATTCAGGCAGAGGGATGTGCAGCCCATGCTGAGGTGAGTATCTAAGATAGACTGAATTTCCCTACAGAAATACACATATCTCATCCCATCATTGGAAGACCTTATTGGCACTGGGTCCTGCCCTAGCAAGCTGAGTTAGGCTCCACCAGTTTTCTGTTGTCTTCCCATAAACAGAAAGATCTTCTGCTCTGGGGTCCCAGGGAATATGCAATATTCAGGCTACATATATATGCAATATATGCAGGCTACACAGGTACACCCCAGGACAGCTCATCTCAACCCATCTGAGAGCATCTGCAAGATCAAGGTCTAAGCAATCCTCAGGAGTAGCTAGAGAAAGGAAGATGTTTGCTTTGACTGCTGTAGCTTTACACAGCATCCTCTCAGCACTGCAACAAGACCACCAAGTAATCAGCAACTGTGATCAAACAGAGCCTCAACTTTTACAGTGGGTTTTGCACTCTGAATGGAGTCAACACTGGCAAGTACCTCTCCTATTTTCAGCCACTTCAGAAGAAGCATTTACTTGGCCAGAGGAATTTGTGCTGCTCCAAATACTTGCTGGTTTGATCAACTAAACATACAAAATCATCTAAATCAGCAAACATACTAAATCGTCTCAAGTCGCCCCTTCCAACCCAAACCATTCTATGATTGGGTTGGAGAACTTGATGTGGAAAAAAATGTAAAGGATTTGGCTTTATTGAGCCTCAAGAAGGGAAGTCTCAGGAAGATCAGGGGTGCATGTCCCATCCTTACCAGTGTTCAAAGCCAGGTTGGAAGGGGCTTGGAGCAACCTGCTCTAGTGGAAAGTGTCCCTGCCCATGGCAGGGGGTTGGAACTGGATGAGCTTTAAGGTCTCTTAAACCTCCCAGCCCAAACCAGGCTGGGATTCTGTGGAAAGTCCAAGGAGATCCTTAACAGAGAACTTCAGGGTTTCTGCACATTGCCCTGGGACAGCTTCTGTGCTTTCCCACCCACAGCAATGCCACTTTGCATAGGCCATTTCAGGAGAAATGCTGATACTCTGAGGGATCAAACAGCCTCTGAAAGGGCACAAGGCAGAGACACTGAAGCGTTGTTCAAACAAAGGATAAACAGTGCAATTCTTAGCTTGGCTAATCAATGGGATTCAGCAGCTCTAGCCAGTACACTCACCCTCTGCTAAATACTGCAGAAAAGAGGTAGAAGAGCAGAGCTGAATGTTAAAAAGCCTGCAGGAGGGAGGCAAGAAGCATTGCTCTTCAAATCCAGCCAAGCAGCACTGGGTTTTTGTTCCTCCTGGAGAGCAGCAGGGAGGAAGAGAGGCTTTACTTACATAAATGGAGTTGCTAGTCCTCACTGACCTCCTGATTCAGAGGAGGCATGAGCCAGCTGTCACCACAGCAAGAGACATGCAGGCTTCTTTCAGCTTCACTACTTGGGTGAACTATTATTCCAGTCACAAAAGAAAAAATGGGTCCAAAACCCTAAATGCTCAGAATCTCATTCTGGAAGTCCCAGCTTCCAAAAGTACAGCAAGAACAGCTTTTCTCGTGGGATGTTGGCATTGCTGGTGCTAGGCAGAACCTAGAAGCAAAACAGACCCTTTTTTTAGATGTTAGAAATACACACACACACACGCACAAATCCACCAGAGAATAAAGATCAGCTGAACACTGCCAACAAAGATGCAAAGTTTTGCTTCAGGTCCCAGAAGAAGGGGGACAGTTCTGGTCCATGGCAGCTCTGACATGAGCATTTCTCCCAGGAAAGGCAGGCTGAGAGCAGGTTCTGTCCCTGCAGGTCTCCAGCCTGGACATGCCATTACCTGAATGACATACTTGTGCCTTGAGCGTTCCCGTTTCCCAAGCACTAAGATCCCCATAGGGCTCAAAAGCAGAAATTATAGGGCCTCATGGCATAAATCAATGGTACCAAGGGAGAGCTGTCATGAAGGATGAACAGCATCTCAGTCTAGCTTTAAATGGCTGTATAGAACTGCCTCCATGTAAGGCAGTCACCTTTTACTCACTTCTTAATTAGTGGAGTGAAAAAGATGCTTTTTGGGTATAATTCCTCAAGCTTATTTTAGGTGTTACCTTGGGGTAAGATGAATTGCACCTTAAAGAGCACCTATTTCTTTCAATTCTAAAGGTAGCCTAAAGGGACCAGTTTAAAGGCTCACATCTATATTTAATCTACATTTCACACATCTCACTGAAACATCTTTAACTATGGGTAGGAATGAAGCCAGGATGAGCCCCGATGGTTTTCACTGAGATTTGGGAATGACTCCTAAGTGAAGAGACTGAGCAGTAGTACCGTGCTGAAATGGGGGATCTCCACTCACTGTCACCTCTGGGTATGTTCTTGCCATCAAAGAGAAGCCCCCAAACCCTTCTCTGTCCTGTGGACAGAGATATTCCTCCCTCCTCCACAACTGGGGTTAAGCTGGCTCAGCCCTGCATGAGCAGATTTCTGTAATTCTCACAATTGCCATTTTGGCTTCTTGTCATAAGGTCTTTACAACTATATAATGTCACTCCTTTATCAGCATGGATGATATTACCTTGCATCTCTCTCCCACACTCATACACACACAACCACACACACACTTTAACCAAAATACAGTATTTATATTATGGTCAGGGGCAAGGGCAGGATTTTGTTCACTTCATTCTAAACATTAGAGTCATTTTCAAGACATCAAGTCTAGGCTTACATTACAACCTTCCCTCCTATAGATCATAGAATGGTTTGGGTTGGAAAGGAGCTTAAGATCATCTAGTTTTTTTAGGGAGGAGAATGAAGTTGAGAGCCAGGAAGAGTGTATGTTTTTATGAGAAGAGACACAAGAAAAGGACATGGGTTTGCAGCGACCTTGTACAACCAGAAATCCTAGTACAAAAATAATCTGCCTGGCAGTTCCCTTTATCCAAACACTCATGACATCAAGCTGGTGGCAATCAGGAGCGCCGGCTGGTTACAGTGACCCATGCTGTCCGCCATGGGTATTTCATCCTTAGCCCTGACACTCAGATTAACTGGATGTACAAGAGCTGCTGGCACAGCTCCTCTCCCTGCTCCTCACAAACAAGCACTGGGAGCATCCACTTCTCAGCTAAAGGCTTGGGAATGAAAAACTGCCCTCTTAAAATGAAAATAACTCCCAGCAGCCAGAGAGAGCAAATATCACTCACCTTTGGCAGGGTTATGACAGAAGCCACTATAAATACACTGTAGCTGCTCATGTTAGCAAGCCTTTTTCTGCAGGTAAGAAAGCTCTTGGTGCTTATCCTTGACCATCTCAAACCCATCATGGGCATCGTGACCAGCACAGCAGCCACAGTCAGTGGACTGGTGCACCCTGAAATGGAATGGACCCTTTAACCTCATGTCCTGGTGAAGAAGTTATAGTGAAGTTGTAGTGACAGGACAAGGGGTAATAGGTTAAAACTTAAACAGGGGGAGTTTAGGTTGGATATAAGGAGGAAATTCTTTCCTGTTAGGGTGGTGAGGCACTGGAATGGGTTGCCCAGGGAGGCTGCATCCCTGGCGGTGTTCAAGGCCAGGTTGGATGAAGCCTTGGGTGGCATGGTTTAGTGGGAGGTGTCCCTGCCCATGGCAGGGGGGTTGGAACGTGATGATCTTAAGGTCCTTTCCAGCCCAATGATTCTATAATTCTAAGTTAAAGTGATGGTAGCTCTGCCACTAGTGACATCATGGTGACCTCCTCGCCCGCCTGTCCCTTGCATTTTGAGAAGATGAAGGATGTCCCAGCCTCAATTTGCCTTTGCTTCTTGAGATCTCATTTACATGAGTCTGTGAGGTGCTCTCCCTGCTAAGAAGGGGCCAGGACATCTCCAGAGGAGCTTCAGGCTCTGACCATATTTAAGGGACCAGCTCATGTTCAAACCCCACCGTGTCCCATGGGTATTAAAAACTCCTGCTGGCAACCAAATTCAAAAGAGATTGAGCATCCAGGAGTGCCAGCTATGGAAATGAGCTGGGAAAAGCACAAAGGATCTGTGAATGTGGAGAAAGGAGAGAAGTGAGGGCAAAACCTCACCAGTTAGCAGGAAGGGCAAGTGGTTCTTCATATTTAAGAGGACAATTCACAAAGCAGCATGTACTTGTGTTCACAGTAAAGAAAGTCAGTAATTTCAGCTTCTTTGTCTTCCTATGGATTGCTAGAAGGCAGAGGAACTGTAATACTCATCATCTTCCTGGAGTAATTCCTACTGAGCCCCAGCCAGCAACAACCAGTCTCTCTGGTTTTGCAACACCTCTACATTTCAGCACAGACCCTTCCCCTTTCCTCTGGAGTTATTTGGTAGGTTATTTGACTATTTGGTGTACCTTCAGTCAGTAAAGAACAATAATGATGATTTACCTGGATCCTGCTGCCTTAAAGCTCTATTTTTACTTGATGCTATAACAACAGCCTGAAGAAATTGTTGAAGTAGGGAATGCTTCTGCAAGAAGCACTGAACATGCTTTACTCTTTCCCTTTGGAGAGTTGCCATCACAAAAAGCCTTGGCCACTCTTTAACTGCTGCTCTCAGTCACCATGATCAGCACCAGAGCCCCATACTGAATGTCAGTGCTGACTGTGATGGCTTGTGTCACTGTTTCTTTCTGCTGGCTGGGAGTGATTTCAAGGTACAGAAATAATAATAGAAAAGTAAAGAAAGAAATAACTAAAGCTGTGATTTAACAAGCTTTTCAACATGCCAGAGCATCCCGCACAAAGCCAAGGAACCACAGTATGGATTCTGAGCGCATTATGAAAGCAAGCAAAGGAATCAAGGAATAGAGCAAGGCAAGCAGAAAGCAAGTAATTTAAGAGAGCTGCTGTAAGAGGGATTTCATTGTCTGCACAGAATACAGCAAGTCTCATGGAGCACTGGTAGTGCCTTGGGCAGCTTGACTCAAAGTGCTGCCTAACGAGGGATTCTTGTGCCTCTGGCGCTGAGCTGATGCTGGGAACCACATGGGAGCCGGGATTTGGACATAGGCACTGCTAAATCCTGGCCAGAGGAGGTGGTGGGGGATGAAGCAAGTGTTCAAACCGCAGCATCCAGTGCTCTCTGCTCTCTGCGCAACGAGGTTTAAGCCTGGATCAGGAAAAAGTTTTCTTTCCCATATATTCTAAAAGCATTCTCCTATACTTTTCTAAACACGGGCCCTGGAGGCGTATCACAATTCTGAGCTTGTTGCCAGTCACCTGAAAGTCTCCCACCGTCACAAGTACATACGTAAGAAGAACACAACGGGTACACATCCTTTTGCAGGCACAAACAAGACCATGTGTTACTGCCCGTAGTGGCAGTGCATCACTATCCATCCCATATATGAGGATCCTCTGTGATTATCTCCAGGACCTCCAAAGCGTTTTCAAACAGATTAATATTCACATTACTCCCATACCACATATTGTTCTGATATTCATAGGTAGGGAGGCTAACACAGAGCTCAGAACTGGCTTTAGCGAGTCACAGCATGAATCCTTCAAATGCTAAAAATCCCAACTGTCTCATTTTAACTGCTGCGAATTATGCTCACCTCTTTTGGCAATTATTCTGCAAGCATTCATTTGAAAAGATTATTAATAAGTCTGAATTTGCTTAGGCACAGAAAACAGGAAGACAGTTTGGAAAAATGACTAACATACTGTGCATACTCACACTGTCTTTTATAAGTATTGCTGGGGAGCAAATCTTGAATCTCTGCTCATTCCCAGTTGCCCTGGATGAGACTAAGGGATTCACAGCAGACCAATGTTTCACATTAAAGAACTCTAGCGAAAACTTCATAAAGAGCTTTAAAAGAAATACACAGAGAAACCAAGACACGCCTAGAAGAAATTCAGACCCAGTTGAGAGAGAAAGGACTTCCTGCAGTATGAGAGGGTGGTCTATTAGGGAAGTTGGTTTGGAAGTAATGAAAGGTAACGTGGTTTATTTGGAAATGCCCCAGGAGGGAGAGGTAAGACTTGGCTGGTGCAGGGGACCTCTGAGGTGTGGACTAGAGGGTTCTGCCAAGGTAATAATCAGAGGCAAAGGAGGATTTCTGTGCTCAGCTGATCCTGGTGGAAAGCAAAACCACTACCTTGGCCCAAAAGCTCATCTTTCCCATGTCTTCTCTTGCAGTGCACGCCCAGAAGCAGAACAGACAGACCTGTGTACGGAAGAGCCTTATCTGCGCGTTTGCCATGGCCTTTATTATAAGCGTGATGCTGATCGCGGCCAACCAGATCCTGCGGAGCGGCATGGAGTAGCCTCTCACCATGACACTGTGAACCAAACTGACCATGCATGCGCATGCCACCGGGTGAGCTCCCCCTGAACCGACTCTCACGGCAAAGAGACAGAGGCAGGCAGATAAAGCACCATTCGACAAGGAGCCTGAGGCCAGCAGCGTAATGTGTCTTGTGAATCAACTACATTCTTTTGGCAGGGACATAAAAGGGCTGTCTTAATGCTTTAAAGGTTTTGTTTCCTAATGCAATAAAAAAAATAATATACAGGAGTCCCAACTTATTGCTTCAAAACAGCAATGGTAACTTGGAAGAGACTTACATCCAGCAGCCTGTGTGGCAGTTTTAAGGAGGCACAGCCTCATGACTTATTGCAGCAGGGCTGTCTTTTAACCTAGGGGCCGACTGACTATTCCACGTAGCTCTCCGCTGGGCCCACATTCCCAGGAAGTTGATCGTAGCATTGCCACAAGCAAGTTCTGTTTGTTTCGTTCCATGTACGCCAGCTTCACTTTGTTTTTCCCTTATGACCATGCCTTTGAGTTCATGGCATTAGAGGGGAGCTAGAGCATCCTTGTACAGTATTTTCAGAGTAAAAAGAAGAGGAGAATTTGCCAGCATCATACAAAATCTCTATTTTTGCTTCATAAACGCCACCTTTGACACAAGACTGTGGGGGAGCACGAGTCCCCTTGCCATTTTACTCCAACCGTGAATCAGGGCTTAAGAAGCATCACCCGTTTTCACACATCTCTGAGATTTGTGCAAAGTCTTCCAACCGACTCTGCAACCACCAGCACCAGTTAAAACTCCCTCTATTTGGTCCTGTCTACACATTCAGCATTTGCTTTCCAGAAGTTTTGCCTTTCTTCTGTACTGGTCTTCAACAACCTCACCTGAGATTGGAATCACGAGGAAAGCTCAGAAAGAGCTTTCCTCCCTTCTTTTTCCCTGTGCAAGTTCTTTGTTTTATTTCCTATGTCCTGGCTGTACTCTGCAGTGAAACCTCCATGTCAGACACCTTCTCATGGAGAGTTCATATTTTCACCTACATGGTATTGTGTGATTTTGACCAGCTCGCTGCTCCAGTCCCTCCCAGGAGCCATCCCACCACCACCATCCCATGGACAAGTTCCAAAGCTGAAAAGCAGACCGCAGCAAGAGGAGAAGGAATCAAACTAGAGCCTACCACCATGTGTTACATACTGTGTCAGACTTCCAGATCCTGCAAGTGTTAGTTAATTTTCCTGGATGAGATTATAATGAGCAGCAAGGAGAAGATGGAGTCATGAAGACTAGAGATAACACGTCCCATGGGAAGCAGAAGGACTGGGCGAGCCTGAAGCCAGGATTACAGCAGAAAGCACTTTTCCCTTTAAACTTGTCACAAACCCTTGCATTTACCTTCGGATGAACTGCACACCTGTGTGTCACCCCAGGAAAGATCTGATTTCCTTGTCCTCATGGGAGAGGTTTCCCAGCCAGCTGGCATGGGAAGTGCTCATGGGGCAGTCCACGGGGGCACCTGGGCACTGGAGTTGTGATGGCTTCATGGTGCTGGCTGGGTGAGCTCCCAAAATCCTGAGGAACAGCGAGATCTTGCTCCTGTAAATGTAGGTGACTGTTTCCTGTGTCACAAGAGGGGCAGGATGGCTCCCCAGGGGACTGCAAACCACCAGCTTCCCTCGTACTACACAGCAGCCTTTGACTTAAGCCTGGATCCATCCCAAAGACTCGTTTCAGGTCTTTCTTTGATTGCAAGTTTGATTGGTAACATTTAACCTGTACTTTTTACTAGTCTAATTTAAAAATCTGCTCCTCATTGTTCTGTCTCCCATCACCCCCTTAAAACTCATGTCACCCACTTTGGATTTCACCTTTAGGTGTGTGTTTCAGTTGCTCACTTCCACATGGTTGCCATTTTCCTGGTGCCTCCCCTCATATCACCAAAGGTGACATCTGCCTTTTCCAAAGCAGTTATTTTTCCATGACTTTCACAAACACAAACTTCTGTATTTCTTTTCTGCTGTGACTAAGGGAGGTCAGCTGCAAAATATTCCACAAAAAATGGCTGTATCTCCCAAAAGATGGAGATGATACTTATGATTTCTATAGGGCAGCAGCAGACTCCAAAACTGGAAAAATCACAGGCAAGCTCTGAGGGTGGGATGTGCATTGCTGGGGATTCAAGGCACAATCCCAGCACTCACTGCACTGGACTCTGCAGGTAATGAGCTTTGAGAACATTTTTAGGTTCCAGGGGCATGTGAAAAGGTGGCACAGTGGAAAAAGTCTAAATGTTCCTTGCCACTGAGCAATACTTATGTTTTCTTTGGGACTGTGCTGGAGTGAACACAGGCTGCAGATGGAGATGGAGCAGAGAGGTGTGCACAAACAAACAGCCCTACTCAGTGACAGCAGAAACACAGGGCAGAGTGGTGCCTCTCCACTGAGCCCAGAAACAGGCTAAAACATACAGACCAGGCATTTCTCTATGTTTTTATCACTCATCTGACAGCTAACACCAGGCAGACTCCCAGTTGTGAGAGCTACCTTATGGAGGAGATGAGGGTTTGCATTTCTTTGAGCTTTCTGGATGGTTCCATAATTTCTACATGCATGCTCCACCAAAATCGTTGTAAATACAGTCATTTTTCAGTGTAATTCTTCACCTTGAAGCTTCATTTGTAAAACCAAATCTATAATTAATATATTGGTAAAAGCCATAGCCTGGTATCAGTAGAGTTCATTGCAAAACTCCCCACTGATTTTACTGGGTACAGGATTTAGGGGGGGTTTGGGGTTTGCTTTTTCTGTAGGGAACCCAACTTATCCATTATGAATCAGTGCCATGTCTTGCCAGAGGTCTCCTTTTCCTTCCTAGAGCAGCCTTTCTCCATCTAAAGGGGTCTTGAAGAGAACTCTTCTTTAATCTGTCAGGATCTTCTGGTAGCTGGCGGCAATGCAGGATGGATCAGGCCGAGCCATTTCATCCTTTCCTCTCCCTACAACATTTCTCCCAACACCTTTCTATCCTTCCTAGCCAGCAGCACTGGACCTGCATCTCTAACCTACCTCCCTACCTCCATTTATATAACATCCATTTATCTTCTTTTTTTCCCCCTCTACACAAGAAGGCAAAAAAAGGGCTTTTTGTTGCTTTTACAGACAGTAGGTAAAAATAGAGCAGGAAAATTTTGATTGGAACCTGAAGCTTAGGGGGAAGAAGGTGAAGAATCAAAGAAATGAAAATAAAAAAACCCACATCCACCCTTCAAAAAAACCCCAAAACTATTTAAGTGCTAATTAACATACTTTAAAAAATACCCAGACTGCAGCAGTGCTAGGTAGAGCTGTCAGAATAAGCACTAAACTTATGCTCTTGCCAGTTACATGAGAATTTAAGTGTCTTTTCGGCACTGCAATTCAGTATGAAAAGGATATTGCTATGGCAACCCTGGCTGCTCGTGACATGTGTGCCACTGTGTCAGAGCAACACGCAGCGATTCCAGACGCTCTCCCAGCCGCACCGAGGATGGACAAACAGCAGCTCAGGACGGTGTTTCAGCTCATGGATTAGCAAATTATAAGCACCCCAAAGATTGTTGTCTTAGCCACAGAAAAGTGTGTGCAATTAAACAGACACGCTCAGGGAAGGCTTAGAGATGGACGTGATGACTGTAGCTTGAGGAAGGTTTTGGTTTTGTTTGGGAGCAAGTGAAATCAACACAGCGTAAACACTGTGCTGCGCTTGTTGAGGACTCTTTTGGCAGGTCCTTCATGTAGGGATCGATCTCTAAAGGGAAAGATTTGGGTTACAGCTTCTGTAAGGAACAGGGCTGCATCACTGAGAGCTGTTGGCTTTAACCATTGATAACCATTGGCTTTAACTTTGAAGGCATATCCCGATTTTCTGCTGTCGGAGAAGATGACAGAGGGAACAAGAGGCATGTGGCATGCTGAAATACTTTGAAGTCCACAGAGAAATGAATTCCAGCAACAGCTGCTGAAAGAACATTTCTTACCTGTCAGGTCCAAAGCTATACCACAGGGTCAGCCATGAAGAAAACCACAGGTGAGCAGTTCCCAGGCAAGACAAATGCATTGTGGTGGTGACAGTGGCCATGACAGGCTATGCCACCCAAGGACTTCATTAGGATCTGACCCTCTTGACAAGTCTACCACTAAGAACTAATTTCTAATAATTAGAAACAGCATCAACAGTAATTTAGAGAATTAAACAGGGTGGGCAACTGGGAAAAACTGGCTTTGTAAGGGAGAATTTGGTCCTCACGGTGTTGGAGGTCAGGTAGGTTGAAAGAGAGTTGTCAAAAAGAAAACAATTATATTCATGTTTGACAAGTACCCACAAATATACCAGTTACTGTTAGCAGACACAGGACAAGAGTCTCCTGTAAGCAGAAGTGTGGGAGGTGGTAGGAGACCCAGCTACCTGCCCCTGCTCCCAGGTAAGCTAGAGCTGAGTATCTGGGTAACATCTGGTGATCTGAATATATTTCATACAGACTGTTCAGTGGTTACTGGGAGCTCATATGCTGCATACAGTGCAATTTTGTAAAAGAAAATATATATACCATCTTTTTAAGCTGGGGCTAAGTCAGTGGGTTGTTTTTTTTTTGGTCCTTTACCTGTAAGAAATAGGATAGCAAGCAAGCAAATCAAGATAGAAAGCATACCCAAGGATGCTACTCTGCATGGCTAAAGTCTGACAGACTTGGATGAGCAAAGTACCTACTGACAAACCAACCCCACACTGCACCTTTCTGCCTCTGCAGAAGACCAAAACATCTCCTGGGATGGGCAGAGGACTGTGATGGCCATCTGAGGTCCAGTGCTGGCTTTGCCCGAGATGACACACTGCTTTGCAGGGTGCTTGGTACAAGAAGACTCTCCCTCCATTGTGCTCACGTGCACAGAGCAAGCAGTGCTCCAAAGGGCTGTCATTGCACAAAAGCAAGAGGTCCACAGTCCCAAGTCAGACTTACTTATAGCTGAGAGGAGAGAAGCAGTAGGAGGAATACATTAAGATCACTAAGAATGAAGTTCCCTATTTTATCCACCCGTGTAATAAATTATTTAGTTTCTGTTTTATGGATGACTATTTGAAAGAAGAAAAACCAACTCTTTAAAATGAGGATCTGATGAAGTATCTTTTTTTTCTTGGCTCTGAATCATGCTTACATTCCACAGATGAAGATGTACAGAACCTGCTGGGATTCAATCTATTATTTTACTGTACTGTGATCTCACAGTGCAATTACATTTCCCTGACATGACTTAAAATCTATTACTACCCCAGGAATTAAATACAGAAAAAGAAAAGGCTCACAACATTTTCATCTCTACATGTTGTCAGTTGTTATCAGGACTGGATCTTGCTTTTCTCTAGTTCAAGAAGGACGTTTTAGGTAGCTCTGGGAACTGTCAAAGCTTCACCAAGAGCAAGATGGACAGAAAATCTGACAACATTTTAATTGGAAGAGTACCCCGCTCCTACCCCTCCAGAGGCAAAAGTCTGGAAAACTGCCTCAATTTGGCATCTTCACTAGGAAAGAATTTCAGCCCTAGACGCAAAGAGAGGAGGGAGAAAGCAGAAATAGGAAATCCTCTGGATCTAAAGATCAGCACTTGACAGTTTGTTGATGAAAATAACATAGGGTTTTTATTTTCTGTCAAGACCCAAGTTTTCTTTGTAGCCTCGAGGAGCACTAAATGAAATTTGCCATTTTCCTACCAATTATTTTCTATAGCTGTTCATGGCCAGCCTTTGCCAGCATCATGAATAAGCAGCTTCAAACACTGCTGTTTTTATAAAGCTTTATGCGAGATCCATACTACAACTTTCCTTTAACAGCTGGTCTTCTGTCTTCATCAGCCAACAAGTAGACATTTGACCATCCCATTTGAAGCTGTTGAGCTTGCTCTAGTAGTTACCCCTCTGGTCTCGCCAGCAGTCAGACATGTCTTACCTCCCTTGTGAGCTGTCCCTCTAAACCCAAGCCCCTAGGGTTGCCAGTTGACATCAGCCTTCAAATACATGCTTCTGTATCCACATTGCACCAACCCAAGAACAGCATTACATTGACTGCCATTCTCTTTCAGAGGAGCCAAAGTTATTTCAGTTTCATGCAGCAGCTATTATTCTCTTAGATTTTAACTGGGCTGGGGGATAGAAGAGAGATGAAGTTCCTTGCGGACTCCAGGTTAAATCAGAAGTAACTCATCAGAGTTATTTGGCTTAAACTGCAATAAGCCCAGAGTCCAGCCTGTTGCCATTTAATCCATACTAGGATCGAAGTAATCAATGCCTCCTGATTGATCTCTAGACAGTTACTCACTAATACATGCATCTCCTTTTCATTATAATTTCATCTCTCACTGTTTTCAAGCCATTTACTGTTCATTACTGAAGTGACCATTTTTCGCTTGTTAAAAAAGACATGGCATTTTAATTAA